AAAAGGAATCTAATACACTAATTATGTATATTTGAATTTTTTGTATTTTGTAAAAAAAAAACTAATACAACACTACAAGCACAACATTACTAAAAGTAAAGTGAATATATATATATATATATATATATGTATGTATATATATATATATATCAGTAGAATATTTTCATTCCCACATAAAAATTTTGCTTTGTGGTTTTTTTATTCATATCAAATGAAGTTTAATTTTTTGTTTTTCAAGTCTGTTTTTGAATGCATGTTAACATTTGTGACTAAGTGGCCTGTAAGAGAGGACTTTTATTTTGTACAGTGCAATCTCATCTTTAACTGTGTTCAAAATATACATTGATGCATTGAAAAACTAATGCTTTATATGCTATCAAGACATTAACTAGTATTTCTGATTGGGAAATCAGCTATTAGTGAGCATGTCTGGAAACATAATGTGGATGTGTGAGTTATGATTTATTGCTCAGAGGTTAACAGAAGCAAATGAGAGAAATGTATGCAATAAGAGTACAGAGCTATACATCTACTTGATGAGAAATGTGTTCAGTTGATATTAAAAACTTTGGTGTCTTGGCAAATTTGCGTTTCTGATCTTGATAAAGTTGAGGCTATGTAACCTAGATGTTTTTGGTCTACCAGGAAGAACTTGAATAGATAAGGAATTAGACACTTAAAAATGAGCCACCATCTACCAGCATTGAGCTCGCAGTCATCCAGATGATCATGATTCAGTGCTTGATGCAATCAATGTTCTGCTAAGCATCACTCACCTCATCAGTTAGTGAACTGAGAGACTGTGTTGATTCACATGATTCCTCTCACGTTACACAGCTCATTAGATGGTAAGGTAATCAGAGCTACTTTAACTTTGATCATATAAGAAAGATGAATGCCTGCACTTTCATTTGTAACTGAACTGCTGTTAATTAGAACAGAAAATGTTGATTTACCTTTTTAATATGCATTAGATTGGAGATCAAAGTCCATGAGCGCTTTCATCTGTATTTTATATGCTCATACATCTAATTAATATAGAAAAAAATAAAGCAGTTTTAAAAATTTATTTAAAATGGCACAAATGGAAAGCACTTTAAAAGACACTAGACAGCAATTTAAAAAATGTAATGTTTATTATCGAGTATACCAGTAAATATGAGAAAAATTACCCTTCTAACCCCCTACTTTTTTATTTTTAAGTCACTTTGGATAAAAGCATCTGCTAAATGCATAAATGTAAATATGAATAAATAGTGCAAAATAGATGAGTAAGTGTTCTGTTGGCATTGTGTTAACGTGTTTATTAAAAATGAAAAAAAAGACATCTGAAAGACTTTACGTTAGATTTTTAATCTCATGTTCAACTAGATTTGTACATTTTTACATTGAATAAACAGGCTGTTAAGGTTGGTTGCCAGGTTGGTGTGGTTGCTAAGGGTTTTAGTGCATTGCTAAGCAGTTGCTAGGGTGTTTTGAATGGTTGTTAATCTAGTAAATCAATCAGGTTACAATTAAAACAAGAACAATTTCATAACTGGGACAGTTAAAAGTCCATTTATTTTATTAAAATGTGTAGATATTTTAAATAAAAATATTTTGCAGTCTTCAAATATTGTGACACTTGCTGCAAATATGACGTGACATCAAAAAATTTGGTGTAGAAACTATTTTCACTTAAAAAATGCTAGTAAATTTCACAATTATTTACAAAGAAATGGCAATTAACACACGGAATTAAACAAGACGCTTTTAAGACGAAAGTCTGAAATAGTGTTTTCTTGTAAAACCTTTTATTTACAACTTCAAATTTTTACAGTGTACATCCAAATGTTACAGATTAGTGAAAAAGAAAAAAGAAATATTTAGCTTTTAGAAAATAGATACGCTGGGGAAAAAATTGGTGCAGAAACCATTACCACTCAAAAATTAGTTTACTAATGCAAATGGTTAATTTATAATGCGTTTTAATGTTGCCAGGGAACATGCCAGGGTAGGGTTTTTAAAAATGCAAATAAATAGATTAAATAAATAAATATAAATAACAAATATAATACAAAAAAAAATGTCATATGAACTACCTAACAAAAACAAAAAACGGATTTGAGCATTGAGTGGTTGAACCTTGCGAAAATACATACTGATCAGAGCATTTCATAAGGGCTGAGATCTGGATCTTTCCAGTCTCACTCAGCCCTGCTGACCTTTGACCCCCAGTTACTAGGATCATGCCCTATGAGGGTGGCTGTGGGTTGAGTGGCGACAGGATCCCTCTATAGCCATGCCTAAACACTTCCATATGACCGTCCATCCTAAACCATGGGAAAAAGTAGCTTGGGTCAAAAAGTCCATCTAAACATTGTAAAATGTCTCTTTTCATTATTAGTAGGTCTTGCTGTGAAAAGCATCATGGTTACTACTGCTTATGTTTTTAAACCCTTTAATTTATTTCCCACATTTCAATGGAATATTTCCATATTACTGCCATATAGGAAAGTGATGCCTCATTAAAATGACCCTCAACCATCACTGGTTAAAATCTCATCATCAGGCAATCTGTGCAGCCACTTTAAAAAATAACATCTTATATTACATGAAAAAAGAGGGGGAGAAAATCTCCCGAGGGAGACGCAACCCCAGCAGGACAGAACAGTGGCGTTCCTCTCCTGAGTCCGTGATTGAATGCACCCAGGATTCAAGTACAAACATTCCAGTGTACAAAGAGAGCAAAGCCAGGAGGGACGGGGACGGGGGTGAGGGGGAGTGCAGGTGAGGAGACAAGTCTGAACAAAACCAGCACAGACACATTACAGGAACCAGTCAGTGAGTGACAGCAGCACAACTTATTAAGCCTACTGTATCATTTCTGATATGCACATTTCTAGGGCCTCTAAATAATCAACAAGATCAAAACTTTGCTGAAAAACCTGCTGTGCATAATCTACTTCATGCCTTCTGCCATCTGATTCAGAGTTCTTGTTTATTAGCAAGCAAAAGGACTTTGTGTAACTGTAAAAATGTGCTTCACGTGTTTTTTGTTGCTGTGAAATCTTTACTGATTTTTAATAAGTATACATAACAATGACCTTACTGTTGTTAGTAATATTTCAAGATGAACACGTGCTGGACTGAAGCAATGTTTACTTGATTATCCATACATCAGTTTTTAGAAAAATGATGTTAAAATGTGAGTATCAACTTTGATCATCAGGCTTCTGGAGAACGTTTATTTGTTCATCTCTCATCATCAATGCATTGCATTGCATTAAATGCTTCGAAACTATAGTTTGATCATAAAACTAAGCATTTAAATATCATCTTACTAAGACATTATTGGGAGATACAACTGATATTTCATGTAAGGATCTGTTATACTTAAGATCTCGTTTATATAACAATCAATAAAATTGAGGTTGAGCTCCTTGTTATCATACTATAATATGAGCCATAGAAGCTTGGCGTATCAAATATGATACAAAACATAAAACACATGTGCAAACATTTTTTTTGTAAATATTTTGTATAAAGTTTCATTTTCAGAAAAGATATGTCAGGCTTTATAGGGTTAAGACATGCATATCTGAAATACGTGACTGTTAGAGACGTGTGAACATGAAATGTCACAAAAATGTTATTATGTGTAAAGGAGGAACAATAAATGAATGAAATGTCTCTTTAATAATTATGCTGAAACGGACTGAGTATAAGCCAACAAGATTTTTCTTTTGAGACCCAGGCCCAGACCACAAAGATCAAGACTCCAACCCTAAAATCTAAAAATAAAAACAAAATTGGTTTCTGGGATATTCTGCAGTGGTTTGTATTATTTTTGGGGTCGCACTGAGATTTCTTTATGTGGTTAAATGAGATCTCTATTAAACATTTTGTCTTGTCATAAATGATAAGCAAAAATCAGCTGCTGATGAACAGGCTATTTTATATTATATATTAATATGCAACTATTGTTGCTATCTGAAATCTCTGTTTGGCTTCTAGTGGCTGATTGCTTCATTACTAGAAGAGACTGAAATAAAGTTTTAAAATAACTCCTTCGCTTTCCGACATAAAACTTAAGCAGGCCTTCAGTATGTGGAGTGAAGTGAATAAATGGTGCAGTGCTTCTCCCTAGTGGCCGTTTACAGCAACACGAGGATTACACAATCACGCAGTACTTGTTACAACACTGGATTGGTAGGTCATGCTTCTTTCCAGTTTATTGATGATTCAGAACAAATGCATTCTTTTAAAGAGGAAGCTCCTACCTTACGTAACACAGCTTTCTTTAGATAGGCAGGTAAAATAAATAAAAAATGCATGTTATTTGTATGATGAATATGTGCAAGTATCACTACAGTACTTTTAAATTACGTCCTTTCAATTGTTATAATAATGTTATTTTTATGTTTCTTGAAAAAGCTATGCATCAGCCATTTATGGTAGTATTATAAAGTACTGAATAACAAGTATTGTAAAGTACTGAAATTATTTCAACTTAAAGGAACACTACACTTTTTTTTGAAAATAGGCTAATTTTCCAACTCCCCTAGAGTTAAACAGTTGAGTTTTACCGTTTTCGAATCCATTCAGCCGATCTCCGGGTCTGGCGGTAGCACTTTTAGCTGTAGCTTAGCATAGATCATTGAATCTGATTAGACCGTTAGCATCTCGCTCAAAAATGACCAAAGAATTTCGATATTTTTCCTATTTAAAACTTGACTCTTCTGTAGTTACATCGTGTACTAAGACCGACGGAAAATGAAAAGTATGGATTAAAAAACGGTAAAATTCAACTGTTTAACTCTAGGGAAGTTGAAAAATGAGCCTATTTTCAAAAAAAGTGGAGTGTTCCTTTAAGTTCCATTAGCAAACCATTTATTTTATGACTTAAAACATAACATATATGAATTTACTATTAATTTCCTGTAGAAATAAAACATCTTAGTGACTTGGCCACTAAAGCAGCAGCAAGATGCAAAACAAGACGTCCAAGACAGCAAATGTCATGAACAATCCCCAAAAAGCTGTTTTATTGAGAAATAAGATGACATCACATCCTTGTCATGGTGAACAGAATCATTACTTGGCATTGTGTAAGTTCGCATATATCAGTGAAATCAAACCTGCGGTCTCTGGGATAGACTTTTGGCAACTTTAAAATGTAAACCAAACATAACAGTTATCACGAAATCAAACGAAAACAAAGGAAACAGAGTAGTAAATCACAGAATGAGTCATGCTCCCATGATTCTTAGTCAGGATGTTCTGGAGAAAGAACATCCAGACAATAAAGTAGAATTGCTTTTATTTATTTATTTTTTAAATAAACCTTTTTTTTTTTTTAAAGTACCCAATATCCATCTTTATAATTGTTTTAATTTGCTTCATTAAATGTAATTTTCAGGTGTACATCATCTCAGCCATATGCGACATCTTCTTGGGCATGTAAAGGTAATATTCCATGTATCCAGAAAGGTCCTCTATTGTGATGTCATCCACATAGGCGCGGGCCTGTTCGGAACAAGAGCGAGGGGAGCTGGACGTCCCAGCGGAAGTTCTGCTGTTGGGCGAACTGTCCTGCAGGCTGGGAAGCTTCCGCTCGCATTCGGAGATCACATCTCGAAGGCCGGTGAATGAGTACACCCCGACCCCCTGCCAACCGGGACACTGGCATTCCTGCTGCCCACACGGGCACTGACCGGCCTCCTGCAACTTGGACAGAGATTGAAAGTCAGACGGAACAGCATTACCTTTGCCCGCCTCCTGAGATCCCGGCCTACATCCTAAAGTGAGCCTGTTTTCGGCAGCGCTCTCGTCATCCGAGGGCATTCTGGGACTGAGGGGCAATTCTTGACCCTTTGGAGAAGGGAGGTGGGTTTCATAGCCGACGACACCGAATACAGTGGAGCACGGAGCTGAGAATGCTACTTCGTTCTTGACGGCGCAGGTGTCGTCGGGCTCTGGCGGTGTCTTGTGTTTGAGCTGTCCAGGAGGGGGAGACATTTTGCTGCAGTAAGTAAACTTTGAAGGATGAAGGATCGGAGATTTTGATCGTCGACGTCGCTGGCTTCTCACAACTCCTCTTGTTGACTTTCTTGTGCATCTATAGTAAAGAATAAAGGTGAAAATATTAGTATAAAATATAGCTTTGAGTGATTGTTTTAATCCTATAAAATCTATTTGATACATAAACTTTTAAGGTCTCTACACTTTGCTGAAAAACTTGTACACAATCTACTACATGCCTTTTGTCATCTGATTGATAGTTCAAACTTTTTTTAGCAGGTAAAAGACCTTTTAGTGTAATTGTAAAACTGTCCACCTTCAGCTTGTGGTTCATGTGTTTTTGCTTTTGCTTTGAAATCTTTACCGATTTTTATAAAGTAAACAAAATAACTTTTATACTGTTAGTAATATTTCAAGGTGAAAATGTACTGGACTGAAACAACTTTGATTATCCACACATATATTTATTTTAAAAATCATGTTCAAATATGAGCAACAAAAATGATCATCAGGCTTATGAAGAACACTTATTTGTTCATCTCTCAATCACCATTGCAGTGCATTATATTATATGTTTTGAAACTACAGAACTTTGATAATAAAACTAAGCATTTAAATATCTTAAAGGTGACCTATCATGAAAATCTGACTTTTCCAGGTTTTAAGTGCTATAATCAGGTCCCCGGTGCATCTACCAACCAAGGAAACGTGAAAAAGATTAACCCAGTAACTTTGTTTTGGGAAGCCTTTTTCTGAAAGCTTCTGAGAAAAACGAGCGCATCTGATTTCGCTCCCTTGGTGACGTGGTAAAGGGATCTCATTATAATATTACCGACCCTTAATCTGTAAGTTTCCACCCACGGCGCCTTCCTTTGATTTCGCAAGCGACAACGGTGTCCCAGCTCTAATGCCATGGCGAAAGTTTGAGCAGAACATGCTAAGTGTTCTGTCTTTGGCTGCACAGATGAGTACAGAACACTGTTTACAGTCCCAGCCTCAGAGGAGACAAATGTGTGCGCTCAGAAAACCGTATATCAGAAGTTTAAACTCATATGGTTTAAAACGCATGATTTCAGCGCGATAAACATGATAATCAGAACCGAAACAGATGATTTTAGCAGGTCCGAGCTGTAATGGCGCAGCTCTATTCTGGAAAAGGGGGCGGGGAGCAGCAGCTCATTTGCATTTAAAGACACAGGCCTGAAAAACAGCGTGTTTCTGCTTCCATTCAAAATAGGCATTTTCAAAATGATAGAATAAATGATCTGTGGAGTATTTTGAGCTGAAACTTATACATTCTGGGGACACCAGAGACTTATATTACATATTGTAAAATGGGCATAATATGTCTCCTTTAAGACATATTATTGTGAGATAACTGTAAGTAGACTGTTATAAAGATCTCACTGATTTACAAGCTATCTGAATTTCATCTTACTTTCTGGTCATATAAATATCAGCAACTGCACCAAATTGCAAGTTTTTGCTCAATTTGAAAGAAATTGAGCTGATTTTCCTCTGAATTCTTACTATATCATATTAAATGAGCCATAAAAGTGTTTGCTCAATTTGGGTTTAGGTTTGAAAGAAATTGAGCTGTTTTTTTCCTCTGAATTCTTACTATATCCTATTATATGAGCCATAAAGGTCTAACATATCAACAATTATACTCAACAAAATACACATATGTAAACTTGAAATAAAAAAAAATATTTCCCCCAAAATGTTAAATAACCTGTTCCATTAAAAAAAAGAGAAGATTTTCTGACTATTATATCCCAAGTCAGAGTTTAAAGGGTTAACTAGGTCAGAATCCTAACGCAGTCCTCACCCAAGCCAGTTATCTTTCGAGGAGCTCATCTTGGATTTGGCTCCTTCCGGGCCGCTTCGAGCAACCAGTCTGGAAGCCAAAGACTCAGAGACGCGGACTGTGGTTGTGGAACTGGAAAGGAATATACACAATTACCCGGACAGCACAAAAAAAAGCCCTCTCTGCCAAAACAGTGAGCCTCCATTTAACTTGTGAGACAAACTAGCTGAAACAAAATCAAAAGACGGCAAACCTTTCAGCATCCACACGAAGTTTCTTAAAAGCGGTCTGAAGTGTCTCCTCCTCACACTCCTTGCCTACTTTCTCCACAGCAGCCATTACGTTAGACAGCCTTAAAACTGAAACCAAAACCATTGAGAGCAAACCCAGTTATAGCAATTATAACACTCAATAACTTTATCTGAACCCAGCCAGGTACTTTTAACCATTAACATAGGCTTCAAACAATTAGAAGAATATAATAAATGAAGAAAGCCTGCAGTGGCTCAAACTTTATTCAAGCATTTAGAATAACCTTTACATAGAGGTTATTAAAGAACCAATTGAGTAGCATGTTATAAAATATTGACTTATTTAGCAGAATTCAACATTGTAATGTCCTTTATCATTCATATTGGACTAGTTGACAAGTTATGATTCATGTTGTGAAACGCTGATCACATGAACACTTGTCATTATGAAGCTTAGCATTGTGTCAGGCCAGTTAGCACGGTTTACATTCGGTGTCTACTTTGCCTGACCAACACAGAGCAACAAAAAAAGACCGTTAGAGAAATATACTTACGGCTTAAGGACCCAAATCCGTGTAAATCCCGGACATACAGGAGTTTGGTTCTCCTGTAGTGAGGGTCTGTGTTCACAAAGCTAACAGGCTAACGTTAGCCAGCCAGGGTGTAGAGACGATATCTGTGAGAAAACTCGCTTTAAATCGCCCGATGACAGGCTGTCGACGGGCATAACGCGATCTAGATATTACGTCTGTACGGTCAATTCTCACAAACAATAGAATAAATCAATAAATCATGCACAATATTCTCGATCTTTCGCTCGCTAGTCTCTTGTTTACACTCAACCACTCAGAGTGACGCTGCAACAACGCAGATCTTGATGACGTAGTACACGTACACACAAACGTCACCAGATTACGATCATGCTTCTCGTGATGCGCCTTGATTTAGTCAAGTCAAGTCAAGTCTGCTTTATTGTCAATTCTTCCACATGTACAGCACATACACACAGAGAATTGAAATTGCGTTACTCTCAGACCCTTGGGTGCATACAGATAACATAAATACAGATTAAATACAAAATACAACTATACAAATAAGGTAAAATGTAAAAATATATATATAAAGCACAAGACATATGGCAGATTTATTTTGTTAAAGGATGCGATATATTTTGTCCAGATGTAATATTTGAATGTATTATATTTTATTGTATTCTATCTATGTATCTATTAATAATTGGAGCTTTTCAGGTCTAGTTATATGTGCAATTGTATGCCTACAATATTAAGTCTGTACATTTGCATTTGTTATTACACATACAAATAATGTTTGAGGCGCATCTAAATCTGCACGCGTTTATCTCACTGGACATTCGTACACTAAAAAGCATAAGAATTTAAAGCATATCAACCTCCTTGGTATCTGGGAATCAAATGGAAACCCGCTTTACAACTCAAATACAAGTATTTAAATAACAAGCATTATTTAGTAATCGCAAACTACTTTGATTGGTCTTTCCTGACCGCCGATGAGAAAAGTAACAGTTGATGATTCAGACAATGTGCCAAAGCCTGCTGCTTATAATATATGTAAACCTAATTAATTTATCTTTAAAGTAGTTAAAGATGGAAGTTGTATTAACAACAAAATTAAGTGATAATGTGGTGAATTTTAAATAATTTCCCTACTTTATTTGAGCAGCTTCTAACATGCAAAAAACGTGGAAATGTCTTTAAAAAATATTCCAACTTTTTCTCCCGTTTTTAAAATGGGTATTAAACATTCACAAATACAGCCAGCGGCGCAAAAAGTTTAAAAAAATGTATGAAAATACAATTTTTCCTTTTATCTAATCAAAACATATTTAAAAAATTTTTTATATATATATATATATATATATATATATATACATACATACACAAAATCTAAATACCTATCGATTAGAAAATGGATTTATAAGGATTATCTGTAAAACTATAAAAATATATAAATTGTACTTATTATTATTTTATAAATATGTGTTAATAAAAAAGCTAAGTTCTTTATCACCACGAAGAAGTGATATCAAAATATATATATTTTTTTTTTTGGGACGGAAAAAATAAAAAAAACGTGAGTATTAGCAATTGATATACTGTTTTTTTCCCTGTTGTTATTATTATGTAAAAATGTACCTGACCACTAAACCGTGACCATAGTATAAATTTTTTTCTGCTAACAGCCATTGCTTTTCTATAACCCAAAGCACACTAGCTGCACACAGCTGAATGGCGTCCTCTAGTGGTGATGAAGTGAACTGTCTCAGGCCTCCATATGCACACCTTGCAAAGCCTGTTTGCAGTTGAAAACACGAAGCCTTGAGTTGTAAAGAAGCCAGACACAAAGTGCATCATAAAGATGGAATTTATAGCAAGGCTGCCATGAAAGAACAGCTTGTATTACTGTACTAAAACACACACACACACACACAGGTTTGTTTTTGTGAAAAGTGGGGAAAAGCTCATTAAAGCCAGACCCCTGGGGAATGGAAAAAGTTTGGTGAGATCTTGTTTACTCTTTTCCCCACATGTGCATGAGTTTATGTTTGGAGAAAGCCATAGGAAGCCCTAAAATAAAACCTCAGTGTCTGGTTCTGACTGTTAAATGTGGCGGATGTGTGCAGGATCTCACACACACAGGCCAAGTGTTTTGGCACAAATACTTATAATGCATTTTATCATCCACTTTCCTCATCCTTCTCTCCATGTTTGGGTTTGATCTTGCAGGAAACTTAATGATGTCTGAAGGGAAATGGGCCGTGTAATTCTAACCCCAGCATGTTTAAGCATTTAAATTGCAATGCCAAGACTTTTAAAGTCCTTCATCAATAAAAGCATGTTCACACATACAGTTACTGGATGGACAACATGTGCTGGACTATAAATATTATACAATTTGATAAGGGAATTATTTGTTAAGGCAAATATTTTTAAGTTAGAAAGTGGGACCTTTATATGTACCAAAAAATGGTTTGCATGCTATGTAATAGGGAGGAGGAAATGTAATGTCATTGCTAAAATCTTTAATGAATTAAACCTTTATTACATTTAAATACAAATTAAAGATATATGAATATTTTTAATTAAATATTTAGGAAAGTCTAAGACTTTGAAATGATTTCTTAAGATGTAAACTAATATGTAGTTAAATAATGTTATATATGCCTCTAATGATTATGCATCGTCAACCTTGTGTTTAAAACCTTTATTTCTATTTATAAATGTATTTACAAAATCTGAGACTTTAAATAATTTCTTAAGAAAACTTATATGTAGTGTTTATATTCATATTCATTTAAATAGTGGTATATAATGCTTTGGCATTGTCAACATTTTATTTAAACCTTTAAATGTATTTATTTATTTATAAGTTATGTTTTATTTATTTACAATGGTCGGAGACTTTGAAATAATTTCTTATGATGTAAACTTATATACAGGGTTTATATTATTATGTAAGTAATACTATAATGCTTTGACATCATCAAAGGTACATTATTTTTATTTATTTATTTACAAAAGTCTGAGACTATGAAATGATTTCTTATTATGTAAACTTTTTATAGTTTTTATTTTATTATTATTATAATACTATTTAAAATATATGTTTTTAAAATGTCTTTGGTCTAGTTTTTCATCGCAAATAAAACATCTTTAATATGTGGTTTTGCTATGGATGATATTAGTGCTATAGACTGTGCAAGACCCGATGTAATTAGTGGCTTCCTTCCAGAGTTTCCCATTTATACTGTACAATATTATAAACACATTTAGATTCAGGACAGTCTGTTGTAGTTTGCAGCTGTGGCCTGCAGATGGCGCTGTAGTGCAGATTAAAACCATTGCGCTTGTGAGGAGGACTGTTTAAACGGCGTAGCTTGCAATCTGTCATGTGTTGAAAAGATGATCTGTTCTCTGCAGTAATCAGGAACGGGTTCCTCCTGCTCCAGAAAATTCCGCATGTTATTGAATTTCATCCCATATATCACATTACATTGTTACAGACGATCAGGAATCCTGGGCATCACAATTACAGCTGATGGAGGACAGTTAAGCCTAGCTTGAAAGATTGATTTTTAAAAGCCCAAACAGTAACAATCATAATCATTATGGCTCGTAATGAAGCGTTTCAAGAATAAAAAAATTCCTGACAATTTACTCACCCCCATGTCATCCAAGACGTTCATGTCTTTCTGTCTTCAGTCGCAAAGAAATTAAGTTTTTTGAGGAAAACATTCCAGGATTTTTCTCCATAATGGACTTTAATGCGAACCAACGGGCTGAAGGTCCAACTTGCAGTTTCAGTGCAGCTTCAAATGGCTCTACACGATCCCAGCCGAGGAATAAGGGTCTTATCTAGCGAAACGATCAGTCATTTTCTTTAAAAAATGGATGTAAATAATACTTTTTAACCACAAATGCTTGTCTTGCACTAGCCCGACTTCACTCAATACAGAATCACATTGGAAAGGTCTCGCGAGATGTAGGCGAAAGCACGGACCCAGTGTTTACAAAGTAACCGTGCAAAGAAAGTCCAATGCCCTTTACAAATACAAAAAAAAAAGAAGGTAAAACAATGATGTCGGACGATTTTGAAGTTGAAGAAAATGAGATGGAGTTTTTCGCCATAAACTACCTTTTTGAACCACAGACAAAGAGCTGACTGCGCCTGACCTTTCCAACGAGATTACATCATGCCTGAAGTCTCAGAGCTAGTGCAAGACCAGCATTTCTGGTTAAAAAGTATATACATTTTTATTATTATTATTATACATTTTTTTGGAACGACCAATCGTTTCGCTAGACAAGACACTTATTCCTCGGCTAGGATCGTGTAGAGCCCTTTGAAGCTGCACTGAAACTGCAATTTGGACCTTCAGCTAGGGTGACCATACATGCCATTTTCCCAGGACACGCATCCTGGCCAGGATTTCTATATTGCCTAAAATATCTAGGTTTTGGCTTTGTTTGCGTGTGCAGACCGATCAGTGTATGACATCAAAATACCATACAGACGGTTCCTTATGCTTTCAAAATACTCTCGAGGTATTTTGATGTCATACACCGATCGGTCTGCACACGCAAACAAAGCCAAAACCTAGATATTGTAGGCAATAAATATAGAAATCCTGGCCAGGACGCGTCCTGGGAAAATGGCATGTATGGTCACCCTACCTTCAACCCCTTGGTTCGCACTGAAGTCCATTATATGGAGAAACATTCTGGAATGATTTCCTCAAAAACCTTAACTTCTTTGCGACTGAAGACAGAAAGACATGAACATCTTGGATGACATGGGGGTGAGTGAATTATCAGGGAAGTGGAAGTGAACTAAAGGGGTCATATGATGCGATTTCAAGTTTTCCTTTCTCTTTGGAGTGTTACAAGCCCCCACATATCTACCTCACTATGTGGAAATATTTGCATAATGCCGCCCAAATGTTCACGCAAAGAAAGAAGGCTTGTTTTCAGTAACCGCAGTTAGTGTTGAAGCAGCCATG